CAAAATGGTAAATTATTTCTAATTAATTTCTTTTTGAAAAAATATTTTCACCAACAAACTTTTAAGCCCGAACTATGAGGACTTTGATTCCCATCACAGGGTACGTAAGCCTTAGAGTCAGATTCTGAGTTAAGTCCGTCCTTCCTCGTAAATAAATAAATATTTCTCACTTAATTCTTATCATTTTTATCAAACACATGAATACAAAAGGGATAATTAAAATAATTATAAAACCATATTAATAGAGCACAACGAATTTCAGGTAACCATTCTGACGAACGGGTATTATGGGGTACCTAACACCTTCTTCACACTCAACCGACTCCCGAATCCATGTTCTGATTTCACAGACCAACCTTATCCTCCTTTTAACTGGTTTTCAAGATTTATCTCAAAATTTTGGTGGCGACTCCTCGTTCGATCTGGTTCCCACCGCGAAGGCCGGGACCTTCGCTCGCGCGCCGTCCACATCACATTTTTTCAAGTGCGACAATAAGCTACAGTAATAATTAGCATGATATGATTGTGATAATAATGACTTGTGAGTAGTTTCTCCAAGTACCACTCGAAGGGGAGATTAATGATTATAATTTGTTTTGTTTAGTAAAAAATACTCACTTATTAAAAATATGCTCCCTGCATTAATTTATATGATATCAAGGGAATGATTTTTTTTATTCAATCCATGAGTTGCCTGTATTATTAAATTTTTATTGTAATTTTTTATTTTACTTTCTATTAAATATTTATGAAAGAAAATAATATATTATTAAAATATATATATTTAATATGAATAATATTAAAATTATTAAATTTTTAGATAGAGTGAATAAATTATAAAATTTTTCTTAATTTTGGTAAAAACACATGGGAGGTGAACCATAAATAAAATAGAAAGGAATGTCATTTAAAGTAGTATTTGCACTCAAATTAAAAAACTACAATTAATACGTAAGAGGATAAAGTGTAATTTTTGTCCTCTAATTTTATAAGGTTTTAATGTGGTCCTTTAATTTTATAAAATATTTTTTTAATCATTTAATCTTAATATTATTACATTTAAATGATTATTTTTCATGTTAATCATTGTTATTTTAAAAAATTAAATTGAATACGTCAATATTTAAAAATATTTTATTAATATTTAAAAGTTTAATGTAGGAATTTCTTATTGATGAAATTAATAATGTTAAAGTTAAATAATTAAAAAGATATTTTATAAAATTAAGTGATCAAAATAAAATTTTATATAAAATTAAAGGATTAAGTATATATTTTGACTTCCATATGCATTACTAAATTTATTCCTAAAACTTAATAAAATGTACTGCTGTTTTGAAGTTGTTGGAATTAACAGGAGTATATTAGGATTTTTTTTAATAAATGCTGTTTTGAATTTTTAAAAAGACATATATAAAAATAAAACAAAAAATTAAAAAAATATTTTTATTTTGGAACAGATAGAGTATGAAGGAAATTTATTAATCCGCACCTGTGATTTTCTTCGTTTCTTTTATTCTTTTTAAACCTTGGATACGAGACTGTGAAAAATGATTGCTCGGTTTTGCTTGCACCGAAGTGTGTTTTTTGTTTGGTGTGTATCAAAGTCATCCTCCTCTTTACAAATTAACTATATTACTATGTCAATTGTGCTGGAATTTGTTAGTTTTGTTATTATTTCCATTTGCTTCTTTTCTTACAAGGTATTTATATTTTATTAAATAATTAACTAATTTGAATTTAAAATCTAAGATACATAGCATATTTATATTTTAAAGCTAAATTACACAATTAATTCAACAATAATTTTAAAATGCAAATTATTTACAATAATCTATTAAACTGGATCGAAAATTCAAGTAAAAATATTTTTTTCACTCACGGGGGAATTAATTTTCACGTCGGTTTTTTTGTTAAAGTATAAATTAAATTTCCCCATTGATTTCTCACAGAACTGGCGTGAAAAGCTCATTTCAATCAAAATTGACTTCTTAAAATGCTGTTATTAATATTTTTTAAGTCGATCGATTTTGTACGCAAAAATTAAGGCGTGAGAGATGCCCTATTACTAGTGGGTATTACATACTCAGCCAATATATGCATGTACATCTGTGTGTGTGTGTAATAACGGGATAATAAATCTGAAATATATTTTAATGGTTTATGAATTTTAAAACATACTCTCTCCATTTAAAAATCTTATATTTTTAATTGAATTTTATCTTTTAATAAAATAATTATTTATTTTTAAATTAACATTATTTTTTATATTTACTTTTATTTAATAGAATATTTTACTCTAAAATAAATATAAAGTAATTCATTCAATAATAATTATATATTAAAAGACTAAAAATATCTGGTACTTTTAAACATTTAAATATAAAAAAAAATACTCCCTCCATTCAAAAATGTAAAATATTTTTTGAGGAGTTAGATGTTAAAAAATGTAAAATATTTTTAACCTTTTAAGATATAATTGTTGCAGTTTTTGTTTTAAAAGTGTCCTTATCGATAAATAACTTTATATTTATTATAAAATATTTAATAAGGGTAAATATAAAAAAATAAAATTAAATTTAAAAGTTAGTAATTATTTTATTAAAAGGTAAGATTTAATTAAAAATATTTTATATTTTTAATAAAAGAAATAGTTTATATTTTTAAAAAGGGGAATAATAAATTAGAATTTTGACTTAAGCAGCGAGCTAGAGACAAGACTCAAAGAGAGCATCTATCCTCCAGGGTCTGATCAGCGATCACCGAAGGAGATGGCGTTGGCGAGTGCAATGACATGTCTCGCATTAAATTAAATAAATATAAAATATAAAATACCAAACTAGACTTTGGGCATTTATTTTTAGATAGACCTTTTTTTTTTTTGCCATAACATTTTTAAATAGACTAGCCTTTAAAATGATTTTTTAAAAAAAATAATTCCAGTCTATTACAATCACAGTAATAATCGGGTGGCGTAACGATGGGGTCAGCATTTCAGTTAATCTGTGCTAATGGTTTAAAAAATCAAGACGAAACAAAGTTGGAACACAATGAAAAACAGAGACAAAAAACCATAATATGGTAATCACATCAATGCTCCGAGACGTGATCATAACAGGCCGACCGGTTGCACCAATTATGAATGACAAACCAACAATAAAATATTTGTGGTTCACACGTTATGCATTTGCAAGCCTCGTATAACCTCGTGATGTTCTTTACATTGCTCAATTTTTGCATTAATATTGACTTTTTGGAGTCATTTCATCATGAAAATGAAGTGATGATGTTACAAACTTGCAATTGCTGCAACCACTTGTAATTAAATTTGAACTGTCGTTCTAATGGTTGGTGGATGGATCAGAATGCAAGTAATACAGCTAATTAACCAATAAATGTTAGGGATATTATTCTCCATCTAGTTAACTAAACACTGCGAAGGCCTCAAGTGGTTTCCTCCGTCAACATAACTCACATTTCGTCAAAGAATATTATTCTCATCACTGTGAAAATATTAATTTACCAAGGGGTTTTCTGTCCTCACACTCTTCTTCTTTAAGTCTCCCATATCCCATCCCCTCTAATTTCTGTTGGATTGACACTGTAGAACTGTAGTTCTACAGTGCCATATGATGCATGTTTTTTAAATTTAAGTTGTTTCAAGAATTTAATTTTTAATAATATCAATTAAAATTAAAATTATATTTTATGTTTTAGTTTTTTAAAATTTAAATTGTACTTAAGATATTTTTTCAGAAGCTGATGCTAAAAGTATTTTTTAGTGTTTTAAGATGTAAGTAATGTGCTTTTTTTAAAAATACCTTTAATAAATAAATTACTTTATATTTATTTTAAAATAAAATACTCTATTAAATAAGAATAAATATAAAAATATAATATTAATTTAAAGATAATTAACTATTTTAACGGGGTGAGATTTTATTAAAAATGTCTTATATTTTTTAAAATAAAATATTAGTCATATTTTTATATATTCTAAAATAAATTGTGTGAAAATAAAATAAATTATTATTTATATTTGTGTATTCTAATAACTAAACAAATTCTTATATTATAATAGGAATAAAAAATATAGTTAATATCAGTTGCTAAAATAATTAAAATATATAGTTATTTTTACTTGTCCTCTTTTAAAAAAAATTAATAAAATTTAACCTCTTTTTTTTTTGGCCGGAAATTTAACTTTCACTCTTCTTCTCTCTATTTCTTTTAAACAACATGGATTAATGTTCCTGTGCATTGCACAAGTCTAAAACCTAGTTTTGGTAAAAAAAGAAAGAAGAAAAAAATCTTTTCCATCACTCTGCTCTGCAACCAACACATACTCATTTACTAATTACTGCCTTAGACGCAAATCCAACTAGAGCCTGAAGACGAACTGAGTTTATCTAGTTATTTGCTTTTACGAAATTAGAATGTTAAAACAAAAAAAGGGAAGTAAAATAGGCTTTCGCACTCAATCCAGAATTCAATTAATAAGAGCCATCCTTAGAGAAATAACCAATTTTAAAACAAAAGACTTTAGACCTAAGCTCGTATGAGTTAGGTCCCTCATTTGAGCATTTCTTTTTCACTTGGTAAGATTTTATATTATTATAACATGTGATTGCTAGTTTTTTAAAAAAATGTTTTTCCTCTTGAAACTTATACATAAGTAACTTCAATTTTCATTGTTACCTCTGTTTCCGTCTTTTTTAGGTAGAATTTTTAACCATTTATTATTTTTAGAAAATACATTTATGAGTGGTTAAAGTTTGTACTTATTCTTTTTAAAAAAATTACAGTGCATTTATTGAATTGACCGAGATAGAGTCTAGAGTCTTTACCAGCAAGAAGAGAAAGAGAGAAGAAGAAGAAGAAGAAGAAGAAGAAGAGACGACGACAGAGTCAAAGTGGGGCACCCAATCATGAATTTTTACAGGGCGATTTAGGTAAATTCACACCCTCATGCAAGGAATAAAAACGCGCGTAGCTGCGTTCACCGAGTAACCCTCCTCCCTCGCCACACCGCCCACCCTTGTTTCCTTCTCCCCTCATTTCTCTCTCTGCAAAGACACAAACACATAGACACACCCGGTTCGCTAACTTACCATAAAAGTGCCCTCTTACTCTCACCTTCACTTGCAATGGGATCAGGAGCTGATTACGATCACCAAATCTACTCTCCGCCCAAGCTTTCCATGTTTATCTCCCGGCCGATCGAGCCGCCGGAGGCAGCGCCTCTTCCTCCGCCACCCACCACCGTGTCAATTCCCTTCCAGTGGGAGGAAGCTCCGGGGAAGCCTAGGCCCTGCCACACCCAATCGGAGCCCGATAGATGTGGGAGAAGAGCCCTGGAGCTGCCTCCCAGGCTGGTATTTCCGGAGGCCAAGGTCCCCAACGTCCTCTCGCCGACCACCGTGTTGGATGGGCCGTACGTGGGCCGCGCCATGTCCTTCACAACGTCGTATAGGAGCCCCCGTATGGTGGGGAAGGACCATTGGAATGGCAATTTTGGGTCTAGCAGGTGGACCGGTTCCCGGAAGAACACGAGGCAGCAGTTCGGGGGCAGTATTGACTTTTCAAATGGTTCTACCTTTTGGGACGACCGTGGCTTTGAGGCAAGTACTACTGCGAAAGCTAAGATCGCAAAGGTTGGAAGAAGAGGAAGCTTGTTCAGTCTCTCTCACTCTCAGTCAAGATCACATTTGTGGGTATGTGTCCTTTCCAGTATGATCTTTGTTTAATATGAACAAAATTAAGTATATATGCAAAACTGAAATTAATCTTGTTTAATCGGCTTTTGTTTCAGTATATCATTGATTCGGCTACTATATATATATATATATGTATATATCTTTAAATAAAAATTCCCATGGGGCCTTTTATGCGAGTTTTCTTTGGTTCTTGGTGTTTTCACTTAGGAGTTGTCTAGGTATGAGATTGAAGTTAATTAATTAGGCAATTAATTTTTCTGAAGGATGAAAATTGAGAATGCACTTATTAATTAATTAGTCGATGATATTTAGCACACTTTCAGACTTTGAAGCTGAAGTAATGAAGTGGCGTTCATATTCTTTATCAAACATTTTAAGGACATGGTGTTTACTTTTGTCTGCCAATTATTGTCTCCTTTTTGTTCTGTCTAATCGAGCATATATATACCTGGCAATTAGAATTAGTAGCATCGAGATGGAATATGCGTAATTAAACAAAATGCTCGAAACAATTAAAAGGGAAAGATCTTGTTTTGACTATTGGTTTTCCTTTAGCTTTCTGCGGATGGCCAAAAAGGAGCCAGGAGATTAAAGATGATGATCAAAAGTTTTCTGTTCTTAGCTCATTTTCTGGGGAAAGTTTCTAACAGTTGACAAAGACTTCAATAAATTTTCTTCCTCTTACTGTGAAATATTTAAGTGCAGAAAAGCTGGACCTTGTGTTGAGCCAGTAGGATGATTTCTGCTTTTAGATGCGTATTATGACTAAGGAGTGGTTAGTAATCTGTCTAATCTAGTAATTTTATGGATACAGGCAAGCATTTATGAGAGCTTGAAGCAAGCGGTCCCATGGAAACGCAAGCAAGAAAAGCAGAGAAAATGGGATCTCGCAAGAAACTGATGTCATTTGACTTCCTTACCCTTCAGTTCTCTCATAAAACCACCCTTTATTTGTACAGGATGAGAAATATGCAAGAATGACGAGTTCGTCTCATCTTAATGCAATTCTACGCATACATAAAGACGCTTTCACCGCAAAAGTGAACCGCGTTATCTTAGATTAGATTTATATCACTAATGTAATACTAATAATAGCGTATATTGTTTCTTATTATATGATAAGCTAGTGATCAATGATACGGTTGTTTTAATTTATTTATGGGGTTATTCACTAAAGCGGAAGAGAGAGAATAGAAAATGCACATGGATGTGAAAGATATGTCACGAGTAGGGCCAAAAGATCTTATGAGCAGATTATAATAATGGAGTTAGTGGTGATAATGCAGTGGTCGTTGCCTCGCCTGAAAAGGATACGAATTACGTGTAGACGAAGAAAATGTCATATTCATATTCATTGACCCCAATAAACAAACAGATCCTCAAGCATTATTCAACGCACTCATTTCAAAGGATATTTTTAGTTTTAACCATTTGATGTGCGTGTAAAAGTCACGGCTCTGCTCGTATGCTACTTAGCACTGGTTGACTCTGAACACGAGTCTATTGAGAAAGGAAAATGAACACCTTTTTTTAATATGCTTACCTGGTGTTTGATATAAAAAGTGTTAGTTACATTACAAAATAAAAATAAAAAATTATTAACATATTACTCCTCCTTTATTTCATTGCCAAGTAATATTATCACTTCCAGTCTAGATTAATTTGAGCTCTACTATATAAAATCATTATTATTAATAACGGTACTGTTGGTATCTTGAAAATGCCTTTAATATTCTTATTTAATGCATTTGAATATTTCATGACTCAAATTCAAAACACTAGCTAATTCAATTCTCTTAAGCGATTGCATTCAGCGCCTCTCATTACATTAAATATATTATTGCATGACATTGAAACGAAAAATTATGCTATTTTACTATTTATAATTATTAATTAAACCCTGCAATTTTTACGCAAGCGCAATGAGTTAATTTTGAAGTTATGGTGTTTATAATCAGAGCTCAGATACGTTTAAATTGTCTCATCTAAATGAGAGAGATTGACCTGGGTTAACAAGAAAAAAATAATGCTACACAAAGAATGATAGCGTAAAAGGCCTAATTGGAATAGTTTCATGTCGCCCATGCCGGTTTGTCATCACCTTTGAGAATTGGGAGCCGGAGAACTACATTTCGGAACTTAATTTAAAAAATGTAATTTTAAGAGGGCATGAAAGAAAAAAAATCCACTAAAATTTTGAGCCGTAAATTTGTAGAGGCACAATCTTCACTAATTTTAATTTTGTTCAAACAACACGTGTGGATATTATTATTATTAATCTAAGGACCAAAGTCAGGCCCCAAAAGAAAAATAAACAAAAAAAATCTAAGGACCAAAGGTATATTAACTAATCTTCCGTGCGCGCGACTTAATACATTCAGAATATAAGTGACATAATGTGATGAACGCGTATTCTCTTATTGTTAGCTTTGAAATTGAATTGATATTCAGTCCACTGCCCCCTTCTCTCCTCCAAACAAATCTACTTTATCCATCGCCAATGGCTTCTTGACTCGTTCATACTATCACTGTTCACTATAGTGTTGTCTACGTTCATCTCTTTCTCGTTCCCCGCCGAACGAGTCAAAGTCTTTCTCGTTGAATATTGCCATCACATCCTCGTCATCTTACTACTTTACTCTATTTGTTTAGGCCAATTCAAAGTTGAAGTGTGCCTTGGTTTACATTCCCTTCTACGTAATATTACCATTTTCAAGAGGCTCAATCATACGTTCATCATCTCCTTATCAACTGCCAACACGAGAATATGCTCTTAAACTCCCTCAAATTAACTAACGAAAGCAAAAGCACTCGTTTTTGTCAAAGATTGGTGGGTTAGAAGGTGCATCCACACAACAAACAACCAAGCAATTCTACTTGAGCAAAGCAAAGCCTCGGCCGCGTAGAGAGAAAAACACTTATAAAAAAACATCGAATAGAATTTATGCTACATATTTCCACCAAAGTAGCAAAGTTTGCTGCCGATAAAAGTGTTTCTTGTTGTTTCTGTAACATTCTAACGTAGTTATCGATACTTTCTCATGATTACTTGCTTGACCAGGGGACTTGCATACGTGTGTTGACTGTGAAAAACACCATTCAGGTGCAGGGTATCAACAATTCTTCCAAGGTAAGAAACAAAGTTTGAACTTTGCACAGTAACATCATTGAGCTAATTAAATGCAGTCAAAAACATGGATAGAATACATCTGTGTCAAACGGAAACGCCTTGTACAATACGGCAGAAAGCTTCATTCCCAGATATTCTTTCCTACCTAAACTGATCTAAATTCTTAACACGGTTGGTATCCAAAAAAGAAAAATAAAAGGAAAGAAGTCCAAGCATATAGTAGTTCACTGTTCTATACACCTAAGGTTATCTAACTCCACTATCTTGCACACAGAATCTGCCTCTAGTTTCAATGGTTAAAAAAGTAGTCAGGCTTGGGATTGAAACGCCAATGATCTTCTCCTTTTGTAATTAGCTTTGAAACATGCTTGCCTAAGCTTCTTAGTTTTGTCGCTAAGTTCCATATCTGGAAGCTTCTCCATAAGCTTCTTATGCTTCTCCAACATAGCCACCTCATCGGCCAATCCCAGTTCCTGCATCATTACAACAAAAAACCTGTGGAGTTAGTTCTAAGCATTTGACTATCAGATAACACAATTCTACAAGCCTAATCAGAATAATTAGTTAAATACTGATATAAACCTTGACATTGTCGATGAGAGCCTTCAAGCTCTTGATTTTTCTATGAGGCCACCTGGTAATATTCAGCTCTCTGCATCTTCTCTTGAGGAGGGTCAGTCCCACGTTCAGTTCTTTCGCTGCTTTTGTTATGGGAACATCAAAATACTTCCTTATATCATCTAATTCCAAACAGGCTGATCTCTTGTTTCTGTGAGAGCTAATCCTGTTCCTGGTCTCATCTTCTTCTTTAATCGAAGGGGCCGACCCATTTCCCATTACCATGGAGCTCGAAGATTGGCCCATGGGAACCGGAAAACTCTCGCACAAGGAGGTATTGGGTAGAACAAAGGTAATAGGCTTTTCGTCGATCGCAAAGTCATCATGAACAACAGAGAAATTGTAATCAAACCCAGAAAAGTTGGAGTCGAAATTTTCGAGTTCCGGGAAAATTGGGTTGCTTTCATATGGCAGTGGGACCATAAAATCCATGTCAGCTAGACCCATTACTGGTGACATCTCCAATATTCTGCAACACATTTTAAGAACCCCGAATAAGAAAAAAAAGACAAAGAAACTAAAACATGTCGTTCTCAGTCACGCCCCGAACATGTCAAAATAATGTTGAAGGAATCAACAAAATCCGTGGGTCATTCAGAAGTCACAAATCATCACCGAAGCATAACAAGATATTCAATGTCAAAAAGTTGAAAAAACAAGCTAGAACAGAGGGTTTCATAATCACCAAGGAAGTTCCACATGAGAAGGAAACCGAATTCGTCTACACTTACGTTTCTTGATGCCAGGTAGGGTTATGGCAGTTGAAGCCATGTGGGTAATCGAGGTTTGGTAAATCGAATTCACAGCAGTAGCAGTCCATATCTGTGGGAGAGGAAAGAAAACGTGACGTTACTAGGACATGGAAATTTCTGAGAGGAAAAAAGGGGGGTTTTAAAGTGAAGAGCACTGAGACGAGGTTGGAGTTCGTGGAGGTGTAAATGAAGAAGAAGGGTTTAAAGATTTTCAGAGAATTTTACCTTTTTATGTGAGAAATGCAAATGAATGAATGAATGAATGAATGAATTAGCGAGCCATTTAATTGCAATTAAACGCAGGGGGCTGCACTTAACAATGTCAGTGACTGGGTTACACACACTCATGTTTACACTACACATTCGCATGTTGCATCAGCAATATGTTTATGTTCATGCTCATCCATTACAGAAAATTTTGGAATTTTTTGTTTTTATTAATAGTAATTTAATTTACTGATTTGTATGATGAAAAACACTATTACAGTTTCTTTTCTGTTCCTTTGCTTTCTTTGCCGACAACATCATTACAAATTACAATGGCTAGTTCTAAATAAAGTTGCACTAATTCTCTCATACTTGAAGATACGGGTGCATATTTATAATGGAATATACACTTAATCGTTTTAATTACGAGATGTGCTTTACATTGTCACCACGACACGATCTGAATTGCACAATTTATTTGAGGATAAATAATCCCATTCACACCCAAATGTCTGGATTTTTTTTTAAATTAGAAATAAAAAACGACGAGAATTGATAGTCCTCCCTCCCTTTCAAATTTTAAGATAAATTTGAGATAAAATTGTATATACTATTAAAGCATAATAATAATACTTTACAAATTTATTCTTTCAAAACAAAAATATAAATTTTTAAAAACATCTATACACACTTAATCATTAAATTATAATCTCATTTCAATTCTCTCTCTACTTATTAAAAAAAATGATTGATAACACTTCACTTTTCTTAAATTATCTTATACTATTTTGTAATAATAAAATTTTTCTAAAATTATTTTATAAATTAGAACGGACGAAATATTTAATGGAAGTGTGCAGAAAAAATCCAAGTCTAATGGAAAACGTAAGTATACTTCCACAGCATTCTAGAAGCATGGTATCTTCCACAGTAATCATTAAATTATAACCTCTATTTTCGCATGTTTGTTTTGTATCGCATAAACACGACGATGTTACCTATTTTTCTCCTCACCACAAGCGGTTACTTTTTTTTTCCAAAAAAAAAAAAAGAACGAAGAAAGAAAGAAAAGGAAACAGAGAGAGAACGAAGAACGAGAAGATAAGTGGAAATGAAGAAGTGACTGGAAAAGGGGTTGATGGTTTAATGAGAAGTAAATGATCGGTTTTAGGGGGGATGGTTATGAGATAATGTCTTCAGAATCGTAATTATTAATTAACGGTTCCCAACAACATCATCATCATCATCATCACTGTTAGCCGTCACAACTGATCAACGTATTCTGGCCTCCCACCTTTCATTCCTTTCATTTACTTCTCATTATTATTTATTAACTTACTCCTTCCTTTACCCAATAAATATATCGAGAAATGATTTTTTTTTTCCAAAAATTGTTTTTTATTGTATTTCTGATAATAAATATAGAATACCATGTGTTGCTTGTAGTTTTATGTATAAATCAATTTTTAAAACCAACATCAATTCTTTTTTATAAGGTAACTTTTATATCAGGTGCAGAGGATTTATCCCATTTTGCTACTTGTGCCAGGTAGGTGAGTGTCAACACCAAATATATATATTTTTTAGTTTTTAGTTTTATTCAGAAGTAGTATTATCAATTTTTTATTACAATATTATCATTTTCCCCTCCAATCCTCCATTAAATATTAATAAAAAAAACATACTATTAAAATATATATATTTTTAACGAGGGCAAAATTAAAAACATATTAAATTTTTTGACGACATTAATAAAGTTTTTTTTTATTCCAGTGTTCTTATCAGAAAGAAATTGACTCACTGGTGTCTCTCTTTTTTTTCAAAAAATTGACAAACTCTGCGCGAAATTAAGATGATTTTACCAGTACCACACATAATTAAGATTAAAATATTGAAATTGAGATTTTTTTTTTCATTTATGTGATTTCTTGTACTCGACGTTGCATGTGATAGCATAGGATGGACTTTTTTTTGGGGGACAAATATATATATATATATATATATATTATTAATATGAGAGTCAGATGGAACAGTTTTCTCTCTACTTGGCAGCTGGTCCATTATAGTGGTGGACAGTCAGATAAAATTTAATAATTTTTTTGGACTGAAAAATTTAATAATTTAAATCCAAGAGTTAGGAAAAATATATTATTAATAGGGGTTTGTTTGCTGATGATTTCACGTTACAAGGAAAAAATTGTATTTTAATTTTACGCAAGCGAATTGACGCCGAGTCTCGAGGCAGCTTGCTTCCTTTCTTTCTTTCTTTTGCCCTTTCGTGGGCCAGAAAATAATTGAGAATGACGTGTTTGGGCCAACAAGGAGTGTGTTCGGATCAGCTAATGTTCTTATGGGCTTTCTTCCACAGGAACTTCCCACCATTTTATTTTTGTCCACTGAATTACTGATGCTAAGTTCAGGGGTTGCGTGTACGGAGCTGCAGCTTCACTAATTTGTTAGTTGTTGGGGAAAAAAAAAAACTTTTTCTAGGATATGCCATTTGAAAATTATTCAGGCCGTTTAAATTATTCATTTTTATTCGTGTTAATAAACTTTTGGACATGCACAGAATTTGCATAAAGAACTTTATGATTTAAAAAATAAATAAATTAGGACATGTATATTTTTTTAATATAAATAAAAAAATAAAATTTTGAATAAAAAAGACTAAGTTTAAATTGATCTGGTCGGTTTTTGATTTGATATTGCTTTACCCATATACACATATATTTTTAAATTTTTATTATGCACACATGTCCTCTCACTGATCTGTTTAAGTAACAGGAGATTTAAATGTGGACATATTTCTCAATTCTCATAGTTAGTGTGGAGGGAGAGAGATTGTGATTTTTTTTATTTAAAAAAAAAAAAGAAGGGAAGGAAGAGCAGAAAGTGGGAGGCAGAGGGGAGAAGAATGATGAAAGGGAATGGGGACCAGCAGGGTGCCGCAAGTCACGCCACTAATTATCCACTTCCCTCAAAATATGAACCAGCATTCATAATATAAAGTTTTAAAGATATAGGGTCTGTTTCGCAGATTTTAAAGATAATTTTTATTTTTTAAAAGAAAAAACAAAAAAATCTTTTTGATAGTGTATTTTTTGAAAAGCATTTTAGAAAATTAAAAATATTATTTTAAAGAACAGAAAAAAACATTTTTAAAGTTTTTTGTGATTATTGCTCTAAAAAATAAAAAAATATTTTTTTTATTTTCAAAATATGTTCTATAAAATATTAATTTGCAGGATAATATAACAAAAATAGTTTTAAATATACTCATATTTTTTGTGAGGAAGCAAGCATTCCATGATTATTGGTTAATTTGAGGCCAAGCTGGCATTTAAGAAGAATTATTCTTTGGAAGGAGGCGATTGCAGCAATTAAATAGCCTTTTGGGAGTCAGCCAGTGACCTTTATTATTTGTAAAAAGAGCAAATAATGGTGGGTGGTGGGTCTCCAGGAGAGGAGTGACGGTGCATTGCTTGGAAGACAATCCTTTAAAGGAATCATATCAAAAGGTTAGGACCTGTGCTCTTCTTCCCGCCAAAATTTGTCCCATGGATCAACTTCCTCTTTTTCTTTCCCTTCATAGGACAAGGCAGACGGTATTTGTTTGGACATTATTTACGGGGCATTTTATGATTCTTGTGTTTATTTTTATCGTCTTCTCCTTATTAAATCTGGAAGTTTATTAAATGTCGGACTATTTAATGGAAATAAAATTGAATTTTTTTAATTTTTATATGCAGTTAATATAATTTTTTTAAATTTTTGGTGGAATATGTTATTAAGTGACTTGTAAATATGATTACAAGGAACATATATATATATATATATATATAAAGAAAATGAATGTGTATCAAAAGGTTAAAATAATGACAACTAAATTTAATTTTTTAAAAAAAGTGAATTGTAAATATTAGTTTAAACAATTCCAATTTACAAACAAGAATTTTAGCAGCAAACAAATATTTAAAGCTCATTTATAAAAAATTTGTCAACTTTTTTTTAAACCTAATTTCAACAAGTAGCCATGTTAGGTTTTTGGTTAATCATATTATACCACTGCAATGCGGGACTCCGAAACTTTGGATGCACCTTTTTCATTGGCTAATACTCTGAATGCATTTTTCTGGTTAAAAAAAAGAAAAAAAAGAAAAGACTTTACATCATTAAATGCATTTCAATGCACTCTTGTTTTTTGTTTTTTTAAATACAAGTGGTAATGGGAGGATAGAAGCCATAATTTGGCACCAACAAGGATCGGCGTGCGACCATTATATTGGTGACCAGTGACCCTCCACAAGCCACACGATTCATAAATATTTGTGTGTTTTCTTATAAATCACATATTAATTACTCCCACTGTCTCCCATTTATATAGGCAAATTGAGAATTAAAGACTCTATAAAAAAATTAATAATAATTATAAATTTTGAATTATTAAAATTCTAATACCAAACCATCATTCTTATTTGCAAATAAAAAAATGTTAATAGTCATTTAAAAAATTAATTAAATATATTTTGAATTATTTGCAATGTCAATTATGAACTTATAATAGTCGATTATGAATTTTAATTTTTTTATTGTTAATATACAGATAAACTACTTAAAAAAGTAATTAAATATTTATAATGTTAGTAAAAAATTTATGAGAGTCAATTGCAAATCGCAAGTCAATCACTTATAACTTGTTTGCTATCAATATATAGATGAACTATTTAAAAAATCTACTAAATACATTTGAAATTATTTATATTATCATTTAGAAATTTACGAGAGTTGACTATATATCGTAAGTTAATCACTTATAATTTTTTTGTTATCATTTAAAAAAACTGATAAAAGATACTTAAAAATATTTGTAATGTTGATTGAGAATTTACAAAAATATACTGTGAATCTCAAACTAATCAACATATGATAATTTGTTATAAAAAAAAAAGATCATGATCTGCTATTCGTATTTTAATAATTTAAAGTTTATAATTATCATTAATGTTCTTGTGTGGTTCTTAATTATTATTTTTTATTTTATATAAGAAATTTTTTTGAGATGATTCTATATCCAAAATATAAAAAAATTAATAAAAATAATACTTCATTAAATATTTTTTTTTAAATATTACTCTCCCCTGATAACATTCTCGGTATTTCTCTATCTAAGATTATTAGTTGATAATTATTTTTAAAATTTTAAAATTTTAATTTTTTAAAATTAAATTTTACTCCCTCCATTTAAAAATATAAAATATTTTTTAATGAATTAAATATTTAAAAATGTAAGGTATTTTTAATCTTTTAAAATATAATAATTATTTTTTTTAAAATATTTTTATTAATAATAATTTTATATTTATTATAGAGTGTTTGATAAAAATAAATATAAAAATTTAAAAATAATTATTTTATTAAATAATAAAATTTAATTAAAAATATTTTATATTTTAAAAGGTGAAGTATTTATCACGTAGTAGCGGAGGGTTGAAAGAAATGATGGTTAGTTAAGGAAAGAGAGGGAGTGCAGACGCCTTTTTCTGGTGGCTTCCTCCACCCTCATAACGCGTCCGATCCACGCTCCTTTCCCTCCGTGTCCTCCTTCAAACCAAGCTCCTCTCTCTCTTGTTAGTTGTTACTGCATGACATGGCCTTATGGGGAAAGTGTGTGAGAGAGAGAGAGAGAGAGAGAGAGAGAGAGCGTGAAAAATTGGGCGGCAAATGTGAGATGAAGTTCTAAATAAAATTTCACGCATGTTGGGTTTATTTCTTCCCCAATTGTTTAGGAATTTAGGATTATTCAAATCTCCACAGATAACAAGAAGATGCTTGAAAGCCTATGAAAACAGTTTTTACCAAGTGAAACTGCCTAAAATTATTTGTTTCAATGCATTTTTAAATCCATGCGTGAATCATTGCAAAGAAAAGAAATTCAGAACAACATTCTCCGGATTCTCTGCCTCTTGCACATCGACGTGCCTTCCTCTCCTTCACGTCCCTGTCTTTCCCTCCTCATTCCTCTCCTTCCTTCGTCCCACCATCTCCCACACTTACTTTTGAAAATCCATATTTTTCATTCTTGTCGTTTTCCTGATTCTAGTCAAAATTCCAATACCAACCTTTTTCAGCGAGTTGTAAAGAACAAACGCCCCACAAGGTCTTTTCTTTGACATTTCTCCCCTACTGATTCCATTTCGGTGCTCCCTTTTCAAATGGGAGTTAGGTTTTAGTTAGCACAGCCCCAGCTGAGTTCAACAAGCAGAACAGTAAGACGAACAAGAAGAAGAAGAAGAAGAAGAAGAAACTCAGGAGTACAGTTTTAGTTTCTGCATTTTGCTTGAAGTTCAAACAAACTTGGTCATTGGAATTCATAGGTATGCTATTGGAAGAGCTAACATGTCGAGCATGGAAGATTTTCCATCTTTTTACTTAGCTCAATTCTACTGCCGTCGTTTGGCTTCATCTGGTTCTTTGGAAACAGAATAGTCAAACTATCTTGCACAAGTATAATCGTTGAAAAGTATTACAAGTTTTGATATTTTTGAGGATTAAATCTTGTTTGCTTTTGAGGGTTAACATGCAATTTAATAGAAATGTGAGTGTTGCTGAAGTAACCGAAAAAATGGATATTTTTTTGGTTTTGTGTGCAGCTGAATTTCTTAATGCAGTATGTATATTTCCAGATACAGATAACACTTTGGACAAATGTTCTCTTTGGAATATAAACTTTTGGCATATTGTAGTCGTTAGAGATAGGGTTGTTTCCTTCTTCATCATTCATACAAACTAACAGTTGTAATCACTGTATACGGGCTTTCAATTAGATGAGTTTGACGGATTCGTTGTTTTGGTTGAGATCATTCTCTTTTTTCCATGGATTTTCTATTTTATAGATGCCAAAGTTTTCTATTTCTCCTCCTCCAACCTCCTAACCTTAATTTGAACCAAAAAAGTCCTGTCTCCTGTGCAAGCAAGTGTTCATTACTTGTTAATAGTGTGACATTTTACATCTTAGATAATGTTGGTGTCGACCTTCTTTGTCATTTTTTTTAATGCAGAGGCGGGGTCTTCTTCCATCTTTGTATATTCATGGGGAAGATCACAACTTCAACACAGCCTATAGCTCGAGAACCTTCCAATTATGACGAGGTTTTCATGCAGCAGAGCTTGCTCTTTGATGATTGTCTCAAGGTATTTGTCATTAGTGCACATAATTCATCTCTTACTGCATATCTAATTATGCTGTTCTGACATAAAGCATTTTTTTTAATTAAATGGGTTCTAGTATAGAGGGTTTTTGCTAATTCTTCTGTTTTAATCTGTTTCGCAGGATTTGAAGAATCTGAGAACGCAGTTATACTCTGCAGCCGAGTATTTTGAACTCTCATACACCAATGATGACCAAAAACAGATGTGAGTCACCCTGATATCTCTGTTGGGTTTGGGTATTTATATTGGTATGATTATACACTTTGTCTCCTTCTTGACTGTTTGTTTTATTTCTCTTTCTATCTTTATTTCTTTTGCAGTGTGGTAGAGACATTGAAGGATTATGCCATCAAAGCTCTTGTAAATACAGTGGACCATATTGGTTCTGTGACCTATAAGGTGAATGACTTGTTAGATGAGAAAATTGTCGAAGTCTCCGAAGCTGAGCTGCGTGTATCTTGTATTCAACAGGTACAATGACTTTCCCCCCTCCATTCAGCTGCAGAAAGAAAATGAAAGTAAATGCTGTAGAGAAAAGTCGATATACCCTGGAAATTCATTATGAGAGATAATCAGAATGAATCAGAAGGTATTATAATTTATTGAGGTAGGAAAACAATCTTTGTGGTGTTGAGAATGAGAACTGAGAAGTTACACGACCTCATCTTTTGGAGATATTAGTGGCTGTAAAGGATTCATATCTATCTGCTTCCTGACTTTAGACCCAGAGAGAGAGAGAGAGAGAGAGAGAGAGACTAAAACTAAAGATACTAAGATTTACTATTTTTCTCCATTTATGGACAGTTGTTATTGTTGTTGTTGTTGTTATTTGATGAATTTTATTTACCCACAACCCATGCAGTAGACAGGTTGAACCATATTTCCTATAGTTTATATCAGAAAGAGAGTCTTGGTACTTGTGGGGTTGTTAAAAATGTATTCATGCTTAAAATTCAAGTCAAACCATAATCTTAATCCGCTGCCATGGCTTTGAAGATTGACCCATTCTTTGACGTAGAGAATAAGAACATGCCAAGATTTTATGGATCATGAGGGACGAACCCAACAATCACTGGTGATCAATACTCCCAAATATCACAAGCGATACATCCTGCCAGGCAAGTCTGTATGATATTCTTGATTCTGCTAAACCCCTCTTGAAATTCTTTAGGAGGCTTTCTTTTTCATCATATCTTGTTCCTGTCAATTGTTAGAAATGATGCCTATGCTCATAATTTCCTACGATATGTTATTCATAAAATTCATATTTTCAGTGGGAGAGACCATCCACGGTGCCAACAGAACAAAATCAAAATACATAGGATGCAGTCTTGATGATGAAGATGACTGGCATCACTTCAGGAATGGTATCTCTTTCTGACCTCTTCAGAGTTATCAACCAACAAATTCAAGGAACTACCTTTAACATTAACTATACATCTTTTCACCTGATTTGTGTCCTGAAGCTGTTCGAGCTACAATCAGAGAGACCCCACCTTCTACAGTGAGGTAATTTCATATATCTGCCAATGAAGGTTTACTGAACTTGCACAATGATGATCATTATGTATAATGTCTCATTTTATTGCAGCAAAGGACGATCCCCATCACCTTTACAACCTCAAAAATCAGGAGCTTTTTCGTTCACTTCTACCACACCCAAAAAAGATTTAGGTTGTCTGCATGTTTTGTATCCTTCGTCTTATAGTTCCTTGTCATTTTTCACATAGAGCTTCAAACATTCTCTTACTGATATTGAAATCTACAATCTGTGCATGAACTCTAGAGAAGAGGGCAACCTCACCATACCGATTTCCACTTTTACGAACTGGATCTCTGTCAAGTCGGCCTACGACACCAAAGTCTAGCAGACCCACGACTCCAAATTCAAGTAGACCAACCACACCAAATCCTCCTATAAGACCAAGGGTAAGTGAAGCATAATTTGTTTACCTCAGTTCATTTCAGTAAGGTGACACAAAGTATAGCAAGGTCCCATTTGATTACTAGAATAAATGGATTAAAAAAAAAAGATAAAAGTGAATTAAAAACATTCTTCCCTCATAATAAGTATGATAAAACTCATTAATATATACTATAAATATGGGAATCATCACATCTCCAAAAATCTCATAAATCATAATTCTCAACTCTATAAACTAGATTATTTCTCTTTCTTGTTCATGTGCTCACCTATCCTTTTTGATAATTTTATATTTATCTTTATTTTTTTAATTCATTCTATTCCATTCTTTTATGATAAGCAAACATGACCTAAATGAATATTTGGGGATCAAGTCTTTATATTTGAAATGGGTCTGTATTCTATAATGTTTTTTTTTTTAACTGCTAATTTATGTTTCTAGCAGTACCCTTCTGAGCCTCGCAAATCATATTCAATGAGATTAACTGCTGAGAAGGAGAACGGGAAGGATGTGGAACAAGTTCCCAGTAAAAGTAAAAGACTCCTCAAGGCCTTGCTGAGCAGGCGTAAGTCAAAGAAGGATGACATGTTATACACATACTTGGACGAGTACTGATTGGGCACGTGATCAAGAGACCAAAGAACATGAGAAGAGAAACAACAGAGTTTTGCTTGCCATTTTTTCAAAACCCTTTTGGGTTGATAGTTTCTCGTGTTCTTCACACGAGCATTTATACCATAAATTTTCTGTGTTTCATTTTTTATCGGTTTCGTTTCGTTTGTAATGTTAAGCTTTGAGAGGAATTCTTCAGGATCTAATGAGATTCCTAGAATCATTTCGTGTGGCGTTTCAAGTGTACTACCACCTTTGTGTTACAATGGATTCCATTCTCACAAATTGTAAATTTGGCTTCTTCCTCTCTTTGGCTCGGTTGCTATTTGCCAAGTAAGAATATGGAATTTATTATCTATCCACATGGGCATTTGAATTCAATATGTAATATTCTGTATATAATGAATCATTTATTAAAGAAGAAATTTGCACGCTCAATTTTTGGAGAGTCACTTTCTTTTTTTCTATTTCATCTGAGTTATGCATTTCAAGAAAAATGAAAAAAAGAGTGCAGATAAAAATACAAAAACCATATCTAGAATCCGATCAATGCAATGGTTCGCCAATCTCTAAAAATTCAATATAACAATAGACTTCACAAGTACAGATGAAACTATAAGAAAATCTTACAGAAGACAGATATGAAACAGTTGGAATTACAATATATAAGAGCCAACAAGTGCTAAGTACATGTCACAACTCCATTCCTTGACCAAACTCTTCAACTGTTTGGGTGGCAAGGGTAAGCACATCCACAAAAGCACTGAATGATGCCCGAAGAAATCTGGCTTCTGTTGCCTCAAAGTGCCTGAAATAGAAAAATTGGAGGTGTGAGACAAGAAATGAAATAAATTCACGGAAACCCTTGAAGATAAGTTTATAGTGATTAAAAGTTGAAACTGCAGTCATAACATCGATACAAATTCCAACGCACATGAACCAAAAATGACGTTTTTCTTCTCATCCACACATTATTTCGGTCATGAAAATGGGAGGTCAGAATTGATTACATGAAATGGCATTCAAATCAATAATAAGTATAGTTTAACTAAATCTTATCCAATCATTTAATAGCATCTTTTGCACAAATTTGAAAGGAAAAAAAAAATGCACTCCATGAGTAACCAAACACTCATTTGCCATTTGGAAGATCATCCAACAATTACTATGGCAGAGAGAATACTCACACTGAAAGCTTTCCGTTAGAAACTGTCATAAGTCGCTTTACCTTGTCCGGTTGCAACTACAACAGACATGAAACAGAATCAAAATCTAGTTGAAATTGGAGTGCTATTGAGAAAGCAGCACAAAGTTCATATCTTCAAATAATCACCTCCTTATCAACAGCTAAGGCAGCATATACTATAGAAGCATTTTCTTCAGACCCAAAATCCACTTCAAGGTCACTGGCATACGCAGTAGTTATTTCAGTACACAAGTGACAGGTTAAAGATAAGTAAGAGCACCATTTTTCTTTTTTGAACAGACTTGTTAGTACCAATTTAAGCACCTAGGGCAAACCAAAAAGTTTGCAAAGCTAAGCTTTTCCTATACAAATGTCTTCTTCTAAGAGCACAGAATCTTTCCAAATTTACTGCGCCATTCATTACTAGTTTTTTTTTTTTTTTTACAAAAAAATTTAACTGAATCCTACATTCAGGAGTATCACCCGCAACCCTGGGATATAGAATTATGGAACAAAAACTTAAAATTTTAGACAAGCCCCAACACTTGAGCAAATTGAAAACTATTCTTGGCATTTGATACCGTAATAAGGCACAGGAAAATTCCAAGTTCTCATGTATACTTTAACAGCAGCGATTCATCATTTTTGCTTTACCAAAGCCGCCAGTGTGATTGTAATTTGCAATATCGGATGTAAATAGCATTGCTTGTCACAAGAAGCTAATCGACTGTAAATGGCATCACCAAACTTTATAACTTGAATTGCACCTATGAGTAAATTTTTCTTTTCTTTGAAATGCAAAGCAACTTTGAACTAAAGAGAGATCAGAATCATAAGAGAAACTAAGGTTGAAAAATTCAGTCATCGGGGTACTTGAATGAATTACAAAGATATTTCCTATAGAAACAATTACAAATATGTTTATCACAAAGCAAATAAAGATAAGCCGAAACAACTTATTTCCTATAGAAACATAGCTTCGCAATCATGACCCGTAAATATCTAATTCAAGCGGTTAGGTAAGTAAAAGCATTATATTTGAACACAAAGTCACAAACATCATATTAAAAACGAAGCTGAATCAACAATATATCGGTAAACAGACATAGCACAGAGAGAGAGAAGAAGTAACCCGCTGAATTCCCATTGGGATTGAGCATTTGGTACGTCAGCCATTGCTGACCGAGAAGCTAACCCTGTAAAATTTTGAAGCTAACCGAGAAGCAGGGTTTCTCCGTGGAAGATCAATTCAGCCCGGAATAAGAACTTTGGATCGGGCTTTTCTATGGGACTTGATGTTGATGGATCACGCCAGTTGGTATAATCACACTGAGCAATCTGCCCACCTGTTCGGTTATCATACGGGTGTTAAAGTGACACAATGGCCTGAGTAGCCCAATCTCTTGGGCTTGGGTTGATCCAGCCCAAGATGGGCCGGGTTGGTGTTTGGGGCCCAACAGAACATAATTGTTCCCTAGACGAGAGGTACCTCGAAACGTGCTTGAGTTTTGGGCCAACAAAATGGGTTCTATTAATGTAGGGTATATTATATATTTATAATTTATAAATTAACATAACCGTTAGATGATATGATGTCTGGATTATGTGTACAACCTTAATAGTTAATACAAATAATCAATCCCGAAGGAACACGAGGGACCCAAACGACATGGCCGGGGGTCGTTCCTCTTTCGTCGCACATTGAAACCCTGATGGAACATTAGCATATTCCAGAGGAATGTTTGGGTTGGCTTTATCAGCTTTGAGCCTTGGAGCCTTTACCCGCGGGAATATTACTACGCATAACATAGATTCCTTTGTGTCCCTGGGCTATTCAGCTTCTTCAAAAGCGAATATCACCACAATGAGTCAATGATGTTCCTGAATCCAGATGATGCGCCAGGTACGTCCTCTCACTTTATGTTTCCAATCTTCTTGTCTGAATTATCTCAGGACGTATCGTGTTTCAAGGACTTATTTGAATTGTGTAATCAATGCGCATTCTAATTCCAGAGAGCCTGCTTATTACGTACGCCACAGTAGGGTGGTCTTTATTCTTGCTTCAATTTGCTGTACTTTATGCTCTAATATGCTTCTAGAGTGCATGAGGATCATATGTTTGGCTTTGGTATTTCATCCACCCCAGTTTGAGTTTATCTAGATATATATATATATATATATATTTGGGCTTTCGGCTAGGTTCAATTATTCAAGCAACTTTGATGTTAACCATTGAATTTGAAGCATTCTGTTGCACACAAGATTTGCTTAGATTTGGATAGATTGCTTCCTGTCCAAATCTGTCACCACTAAATGATCCTACTTATTAAAATGGCTTTTTCTTCTGACCTTTTGCAATCAAGGATGACAAAAGATTTATCATTTGATTTTGAGTATGATCCGTGTCTCTGGATTTTTGAGGTTTCAGCTTCTGACCTCAGTGATGATCTAATATTTATTTTGTATGGTTTCTTGCAAAATTAACGTGTGCACGTGATGTGTGCTTTCTCTTCATAGTCACAGATAGCTTGCGAAGAACAGTCCATATTACGGCGATTGCATCTTTGACTATTAATAATTGTTTGATCTGTGTGTGTGTTTAATGGAAAACGATAGATATATAGAGATGAACAATAATTTATTCCCAAGATCCATGGATAGCAACCATGAAAATGATGATTATTCACATTTGCAATGTTTTTCAGCTTGGGATTCCCATTTGGCCATCAGAAGTCTGAACTTGTTTTATTTGCTCTCTGTTTTCAAGTCACAAAACATGAACATCTTTGTATTTTGCTTGTGGAACATAAAATGCACTGTTATATAGTCTTTCGAGACACTCAGACATGTTTTGTTGTATTATGCAAGTATTGTACGAAGAGAAAGTAGGTCATCCAGTCTTGTTTTTCACCTCATCTGCATACAGAGCCGAAGGAACTAGCCATGTAACAAATGAAAGAATATGTTAGTGTCATCCTGGAAGGATTCCCTCTAACCCTGGCCATTGAAACTTCAGAAAACCTTCCTTTTTTCCCCTCTAATAAAACTTGGAAAACGACATCGCTGCATTACACGAGCCTTCTTTTTGCTGGTTACATGTATATTAATCTGCGATGTCTTATGGGGATGACTGATGTTGGATTAATTACCTGCAGTTGAAAGAAACTTTAGACGCGGAACATGATTATTTCAAACCATTGATATATACAGAGGAATAAGCGTAATTACCCGTCAGAATAAAAAGGAACGGGTTATTGACCCTCAACATAGGAGGGGGGGCTTGCAACTCGAACTGGCTTTACGACACTTTTTAGAAGTTTTTTTCCATACTCAAATACCAAAAGGAGCAGACCAACGAGAAATATAAGAAAGAGATGCAGTTTTTCTAAGACGAAGCACTTTAAGGAGACGCTTCCACCCTGAATATTTGGACTAAAAACTAACGTCCTTCTCTCTGTCCACCCTGCAAAGAACATTCCATATTTCATCAAATCAGAAAACCTATTCGATCATTCCATATTAGTGTTCCTTTTTCTCCATATTCAGCTAGATTATAATGAAGTTAGGAATGGTGTTAACCTGAACTTTCTTTGATATCAAACTAAATATGTCAGCTTATCACAAACATAACTATCGAATATTAAAACAAGAACCACCGAGTTACAGGAAACAAAGTCATGCTGGATGTAAACCAATGCTGACATGCAACGTGAAAGAATTTTTTTTTTTTTTTTGGAGTACTTACAAGCAGTTTTCTTAGGCAAATTAGTCCAGCCTTCTGGTCTCATCTTTACTTCTGATGCCTTGATCAAGTCAAGAAGTGCCTGATTGACCTGAAGTTTGCAATGCGTAAGTTAATTTCCTTTGCCATGCTTGATTCTTATTTTATAAATAAGGGGTAAATATTGGGCCACAAAATTTGAATCTTCTCTAAACAGACACAATGCACTCTGTAATCCGAATAATAAACCCTTGGTTTTTTCCGTACTAGTAGATCCTTCCATCCACCTTCTATTATATATTTAATGAAGACCTTACATGTACTTACGCATAAGGATAAGTGGCATGCTATAACTGCTCGGTGATTTTCCCCCCTTATCATTCCTATCATTTTTTGTTAGTGGGCATCTTATTATTATTTTATTGCCTTACTTGTAAAACATGAATAATGTTTGACATGTAGGAATGTGAGGGAAAAAGGCCAAAAAAGTATTGACTCATCGAGTAATCTTAGCATGTTGCTTATACGAATATGAATAGCTTTGCTTGCAAGTACATTATACTAGAAGAAGCTGTTGTTCAGATATCAAAATGCAGTCAAAATAAACGAGTGCACATGCTTTTGGGGGCAAAAAAAAAAAAAAACAAAGGAAAAGGTGTCGATGCATTTTTCCCGAGAAATAAATTTTGATATGCAAGGTGCAAACTGCCAATTTTCAGTGTTCATGCAACAACTTGGGTCCAGTTGATTTTTGGCCCATTTTGTAAAAAAATATCATACCTCTTCGGTTCTCTCATGACTTACTAAATGACCTCCAAACAGGTCTACCATTCTAGCCATTGGGTACAGCCTCTCTGCTAATCTTCTTGCATAGTATATCTGAGCAATTACATCAAACCTAGATGTGTTGGAAAGGAGCAATCAATCTCTCAAGTTATAACTATAAAGATAATTGAACACGTCTCTATATCTTTCATGTGCGAAATATGGATGCAAGCAGGATATGCAATGAATGGTAGTGTCAGTCCCCCCCCCCCCAAAAAAAAAACCAAAAAAATTGTAAATTACACTAAACTTTTTATATTTGACCAAGTTAACTCATCGTTCCAGCTCCTTTTACAAAATTTTTATACGTTCGACACAGAAGAATATTTTGGGCAAATTCACATTCGGCGCTGTGTGTCCAATAATATCCTCGCCATTTTACCCAGGGACCTTATCATCTGTTCAAAATTGTGCCCTCTTTCATACATTAATGATTCCTTTGCAATTTCTTGTTTATTTAATATGGTGAAAATAACAGAACTGAAGGCCAAGAACATCATATAAATTTCATTAGAACAGACCCTGCACCTGCCATGTATGACTGAAACAAGAAAACCCGCAGATTTTATCGATTCAATCTCAGATCGAGTCATTTGATGTCTCCAGCAGGCATTGACCTGGCCCTCAAAACCATAATTTGATTGCATCCCAGTAGCTGATATACCTTTCACGTATTGCTGAAAGAGATCCCGCTAAATGGAATCAGAAATATTTTAAAGGAATCACTGAGTGCTCGAGTCCATCATAATAATCCAGTACTTAGTATTATGGAAGCAAACAAACAATCAATTATGAATGATATTTTTCTATATAATGGAAACCTGTAACTCCTGGAATATGAATTAAAGATGCGTGGTTCTGCACTAACTAGAAACTGAGTAGACACTGCAACTTACTGCACTAACTGTTTGCATTCATTTATAAACAATTTAAGAAAATAAAAAGTTCAAAAACTCAGCATGGAAGGCGTAAACAAAGCAGAACCACTGAACTAATAACATTTACAAGCAAAACATATTAATATTGAGAAAGACCGAAGACATTTGAGACGCCTTACCTGATATAAGATCGTTCTCCTCTTTTCTGTTCCAACATATTCCTCAAGGTATTCCTGTATGCCATATATAGTTTCTCTCGTAAATTCGTAATAATAACTGAATAAATAGCCTACTTTAACATATTACAAGGTGGGAAGAAAGAGGCTATTTTTAGCTGAATGTGAATATTCAATGACAGAGCCAGAGGCCATTTACATGACTTGCCTATAGCCTAAATGGTTCTTGAAGTGATTCATCATTCAATTGACTGACTTACCCTCCACACGTTAAATAACAGGGATTAACATATTTTGAAGCTAATATAGTACAGTCATGTATTGGGGGAGAAATGACACCAAAGAGTGTAACTAAATATATAACTCACCATTTTTTACACTCATACTCTTACTTTTCATCTGTCTCATATTATAAACAATCAGTCTTATGACTGCAAAAAATTCAGATTGTTTTAAGACAGAAACGGGAGATGCAACTTGTTTTACCTGTGAGTAGTGGGTATCCAAGTCAACAGCAGCTCTAAGTTCAGGAGTCTTTGCTTTTAAGAAACGGTAAGCAATGGAGAATGTTTGTCGATTAAACTGCAAAAAATAAAGACCGAACTACTGAGAAATAAGTTTGACAGCTAATTTATATGCGTTTATGTTGTTGACCGTAAGCTTTTCAAATCACGGCAAAGGTTCAATTCGTAAAAAGAATCGGACAGATCAAAATAAGATTGGAATAGAATCGGCAAATAATAACCATATCTACAGTCTACACAAGGTGTTCCCCCATGAAAATGGGACTTCCTCTTATTCGTAATCCTACCTTGAGTCAAGGAATTGCCGTTTTTTGCCCTCATATAAATATTGCCATGTATGGTGTTAATTTGTTTCTATCTCTTCACCAGGTTGACTTAAAAATCTAGAGCTAGCATGTATTTAGCATACACAAAAAGGAGGAGAAATCGGATACAAGCTGGATCGTGTAGAAATGTGCTAAGTAAATTCGAAATTATTAAAATGGAAACCCTCAGCCGGGATTCTCCAGCAGGAATCACCAAAGTGTACTGCGAGATTGACCAAAACTAATGATAATATCCCCGGAGGCAAAAGAAATGAAAGGAATTTTGTAATGCGAATTCAAGCATACTGTTCTCTCGAGTAAAAATATGGAAATTAACAACGTGAATTCAATGAACACTATCAATAATATTCCCAGATGGTCAACTGGATAAGTGCGATTCTATTACAGAAACATGGTCTTCAATGTGTTAGTAATAAGAAAGCAATCATGTATCTATTTTACCCGAGTGTCAAAAAAGATACAATACCTTTGGAAAGCATTCAAAACCTCCCCCCGTTACATTGAGCAATGCTAACGAGAGAACTCTATCAGGCACCATCGCTGCTAGCTTGCATGCTATCATAGCTCCTATTTCAATAGAAAATGTTTTTAAAAAATCTTAAAACCAATCCCTCTCTTGCTCAGTTTAAAAGATAGCTTAATCACGATTATCTTGACTATATGTAGTCCATATAATTCAGAGTAGTGCAGTCACCTACTCAAGAAATTTCATATGACAATAGAGGAAACAGTCTTGTTCGTACCCATTGAATGCCCAAAAACATGGGCTTTCCTCCATCCCAAATGATCCAATAAAGCAACTGCATCCTTTGCCATGATCTTTGTTCTGCAACCAGCAATCACCAGTTATAGGTTAGATTTCGTGTCTTTCTGCTGCCATAATTCCATGATATGCAAAGTAATGCGACAATCTAGCTGTGCTGCTCGTCACAATAACTTCGCTCTAACACATTTTTTGAGACCACTTCTCTTGTTTTTAAACTTATGCAGGATGTCGGAAGCACGAAAGAAATGAAAGAGCATTTAATATGCAGATGTAAATTCAATAGTACACTTCAAAATAAATCGTAAGTGAGACTGAAATCGGTCAAGCAACCAAGGGCCATGCACCACTGAGAACCGATGCAATGCAGAATTCACGGATTGTACGAGTACTCAGGATTTCCCAATGGAAACTATCAGGCTAATAATGAGGACCAAATTATGCGGACAATGCAGCATTTACGGACTAAGACCAAAATTCGGGAAAAGCAAGAAGTTTTTTCAAATTCAAGGTGCGACACAGATTCGACCAAATAAGAGGATTTGCCAAACCAAACAAGGAAAAAGTTAAAACTCACGTATAGGCGGACTTTTTGGTAGGTACGGAGCTCCGACCCATACCACGGTTATCAAATGCGCAAACCTCGATACGACCACCACTCTCATTGTCATCTCCGCACCGCTGATCAGCTGAATTCCAATCGGAGTCGCCGGAGTCATCCTCGTTGGGCAAGACGGTACCCGTCAGCCCCTTGATTTGAGGGCCCCACGAGTCATGTGTCCCGGCCAATCCTGAAGATCAATCTCCATAAATTCAAAGCAGAAAAAAAAACACAAATCGAAACAGAAAAAAAAGAGAAGCGACTGATGAACAACCTATGATGAGGAGAACTTTAGTAGGTCCATGGCCGTAAGTTCTATAAAATATCTTAATCTCATTGTTTAGGCGGTCGTCGGCGGTCGCTTGATTCGTTCCGACGTCGCAATACGGCATCGTTGGCGGCCGCGAGAGAGTGAACGTTAGCAAGATATAGCGAGAGCCGAGAACTGAGAATGGAATTGAGATTGAATAATTTAGAGAGAGAGAGAGAGAGGAGGCGTTTGTTTAATCAATTAATAGAGCGAGAAGGAGTGGGGAGGTTGGGCGGGAAACACGTGGCGGAGTGTGAGTGGTGGAGAGGAGGTGGCGTCCGAAGGGGACGCCGTCAAATGGGAACGAAGGAAGAATCACGTCATTGTGGAGGAGGCCTCCACATGGAATATAAGATGTTGGTAATTAATTTCTTAAAAAATATTTGTTAAAATTTTGTTTTTTAAAAAATTTAAGTATTGTTTATTTTTTATTAAATATATTATATAAATATCTTGATAATAATAATTAAAATTTAATACATTATTTTTAAAAAAATAAATGAGGTAGAATTTAATTAAAAAAATTATTCAATGTTTTATACTTTAAACTAAATAAGGTTTTTAAAAAATGTTGTATATTATGATGTTAAAAGAATATGAGATTAGATTAGATTTTTATTTCAGGAAATAAGGAGTCAACTACGACATAGATCGAGACCAAAATCTGAACAAAATATTTGTTAAAATTTTGTTTTTTAAAAAATTTAAGTATTTTTTATTTTTTATTAAATATATTATATAAATATCTTGATAATAATAATTAAAATTTAATAAATTATTTTTAAAAAAGTAAATGAGGTAGAATTTAATTAAAAAAAAATTATTCAATGTTTTATACTTTAAACTAAATAAGGTTTTTAAAAAATGTTGTATATTATGAAGTTAAAAGAATATGAGATTAGATTAGATTTTTATTTCAGGAAATAAGGAGTCAACTACGACATAGATCGAGACCAAAATCTGAACATTCGCGATATTACTTGATGATAGAAATATAATTAGTACTTTCACGGTTTCACCTAAAATCTAGAAGCTGTTAGAATAAAAGGTCGAAAGAACGGCGTCGTTTTAAGAGCCCTGTGTTTAGTTTTTTATTTTAGATAGAGATTTACTCTCAGATGAACTACTCAATTTCAAATCCTTGATGGATTTTTGATGTCATATCTCTTGCCATGCTGCATGCAATCAAAATGATATCTCTTATCTCTTCGTCGGTGCAGGTCCTGCAGGACCAGCGGTGGACCACCCGCAATATTGTGTAGGCACGTTGTGCACCGCGAAATTAAAAAAAGGAAAAAGAAAATAAAAGGAAAAAAAAAAAGATGATTTTTTCCCGCACAATGGACAAGATAAATAATAATAATTTGATAGAATTTTTTAACTGAAAGCAAAAGCTGAGTTGGAAAGCGGCACGTGGCACTGATTTCTCTGATGTACCCTTTTTTTCATTTTGGTTTTTGTAAGCACTCTCATAATTTTTCTGCAGGCTAAAAAAATAATCATAGTTGCAGTGCGAAACGAATAAATACATGACATAAACATTCTTTATTCTTAATTAATTAAACCATGCTTTGCATTTGACCTAAAGTTTAACGTGCGTGTATGAAACGAAGAAAAGAAGAATAAACAATGAATTTTGGGATTGGTCAACCACGATAGCTGTGTACTGTGTTATATCTTCAGGAATAAATTTTGGTTTGATATGCATAAAATACAAGGATTAGCATCAACATCAGCTTTAAATATACGAAATAAATATAAACAAATTTTAATTCATGAGTCGATTCAGCACTGTGGGAATTACAATTATTCTTAATATTTTGACCTAAAAATTCTCATCTAAGATCTAACTGTAATTATATAATAGTATTAGTTATATTTTGAATTCAAACAACCTTTAATTAACCGAAGAGATCAAATTGAGCATTCAAACAAGTAATCCCATTTTTTATTTTATTGACATACAAATTGATAATATATAATAATTTTGACTTTGTCTATTGAAGAAATAGTCTCCTCAGTTCAATCAAAGGAGGTATTCTAATCATCAACAAATACATAAATATCAATCAGCTTAACGTATCAAGTTCATAGAAACATCACATTATTTATGACATGAACAATACCATGTATTCTTTAAACTCAACATAATTGACGAGAAAAATACCTGTAATTATATAATGCAAATATAGCCCGTATTTGGGGAGGATGATGTACGTTCAGCGAAAGTGGACCAAGCGGCCTTTATTGAATGATAAAATCATAAATGAGATTGACGAAGAATGAGCATTGGGATGTGATTGACCCTCTCTTCCTTCAGGCGTGACTGAGTCTGAGCAACAAAAGTTGGGTAAATCAAAGACACAGGCTGGAGGGATACGGATCGGGTGGAAAATCATACAGTGACTGAAAAATGAAAAATCCTCACCATAAAATTTTATCCAATGATTAATAAGAAACAAGTGTATAAAAAAGCTCTTCATTTATAAACACACAATCACATTTTATTTAAAATAAAAATTTATAAAAAAATATAATATTTTTAATAAACATGTTCATTACTAATTTAGATAATATAAATTTTATTTGAATGGTCTAATTTAATATTAATTTTTTTTTATTTTTTTATAAATTGACTATCTAAATATACTCTAGATAGTTCATAATTAATATTAAAATTTTTTATAATCCTTATAAATTTTTATTTTGATAAATATAATATTAAAAATAAAGATTATTTCTAGCACTTTCTAAAATATATTTTTTAAAAAAAATTATAAGCTAAAAATTTTAAATATGAATCAAAATCAAATCTAAATTGTGAAAATTTTATCTGAATAGTCATTTTATAAAAAATAAAAAAATTAATATTAAATTAAATTATTCAAATAAAATCTGTATTGTTAAAATTAATGATATAACATATTTATTAAAAATATTATATTTTTTATAAATTTTTATTTTAGATAAAATTTGATTGTGTTTATATAAATGAAGAACTGTTTTATACACTAATTGCTGGTCACTTGGGTAAAGATTTATTTCACTTTCCATCACCACACCGTTTACACTGCACCTGATCCAGGTTGGAGTGGTGTTGTCAGACACTGTAAACGCTGTCATCAATCAAATCCATGGGCAGCAGTAGCTCAAGGGTTACATTAAGAGAGAACATCATGCGAACAACAAACTTTGTCATACACGACATGTCTAAATCACCCAATCACAACTCACAACGTATGCCTTAAAAAAGTACGAGGTACATACATCCAATAATCACATTTTCTAGTAGAAACCTTACAAATTACTCGATCTCTTGACATTGCAAGCTTTAAAGTTTGCACACATTCTTCTTCAATATATACAGCTAGTGGATCTGAATGGATGATGAATACTTACAAGAGCTGAAAATCACTGACAACATAAGATTTACACTTTCATGAACCTAAGCATGACAGAGTAGAATGATATTGTTAGTCAAGGTTACACTACAGCATGTCACCTAAATAGGAGGAAACATCCATCCCATAGTCCATCCAAGAAGCAAACCAGCACCTGCAAGTCCTAAACCCACGACAAAAGCAACAGCACATCTTTTGATCCCATTTCTTCTATTACTGCTCTTGCTCTTTCTACCACCACAATGACCGTTCTTAAGCTGCTTCCCACGACATGGGGTCCAAGGTAGGCCAGCTGGTAAGAGGCTTAACAATGGCTGGTTTTTGTTTCTTAGTTGCAGGCAGAGGTTCTCAAGCTGCAGAAGGTGGAGCCACTGCTTGTAAGCAAAGAGTTGCGAAGCCTGTCGGAAGAAGAGACTGAGGATGTGCTCCTTCTCGTTGTATGCTTGTTGCGCGGCTCTCTCAGCCTCTCTTGCTCGTGTTTGAGAGTGGCACAATGCTTCCAACAGCTGAGCCTTGGAATTGGACTGTGAGTTCATAGGTTCACCCTTGCTAGTTGAGTAGGAGTCTTTGCTCTGGTTGGAGCTGGAGATATGTAGAACATGGCATAATAATACAATATACAAGAATTTCATAGCTGACGCTAAAGAATAACTAAATATGTTCAAGCAAATTAGTACAGGCACATAATCAGAGCCATAGTCAATTGGACCAAGAGATCCAGTAAACTTGAAATCAAGTGGAATCACGATTAATCCATTCTAAGACGGATCAAGACTAAGAAACTCTCTTACTGGAAGGGAACTCGTAAATCATATGATAATTTCCACAATAATGTGAAGAATCATCATCTCTACTCCCGGAGTTAGTTACTAGATAGACACAGTGGAAATATGAACTGCTACTTGTTTGACAGAAGACTCTTACAGCGGTTCAAAATCCGAGCAAGTAAGCAAGTTTTAAGAAGTTTCCATAAAATACTTGAGGAAAACTAGCCAGTTTCAGTCAAGAAAATGGAATAATGGAGAGGACAAAAGAGCATGACATGCGAGCAATGGAAATTTTTTCGCATGACAAATCTTGCTTCTATCTTCATTAAAGTCGGATGGAAAAAATTCAGCAGATAATAATCTAGAACCCTAGTCAAACTGACATGACAATTAGTGCTTTAAACGACAAGAAACACCGATTTGCCTCCAAGATAAGCTGAACATAATGGAGTACTGCAAAAGGATTGTAAAGTGCCCCTCTGCAGCAGCATTACCTGAACAATCTCTCTGAATCCTGTGATGATGAACAACCAGAAGTAGGGGTTCCAGAAGTATGACTTTCCACATAGGAAGAATTCTTCTCCGCTTTTTCATTTAGAGGGGATGGCAGAGTCTTGTCATGGTCAAGGCACTCTAAGTAAGGAGATGGTGTGTTCCTAAAATGCTTAATCTGTGGTTGAGGAAGATCACAGTTTTCAACATGCTCAAGCGACTTCTGAGCAACCAAGGAAGCCAACTCATCTTTTCCAGCTTTGCGCCACCAGGGCCCAATTTTCTCAGCACCTATCCAATGTGAGTCTGAATCAGATGACGCCTTTTTACATTGTTCAGAGATCAGGAAATCGGTAATATCCCAGTCCACAAAATGATCATCTTTAAACAAGAATTTCCCCTGATCCTTTTTCTTAGCTGTAAATTGTAGATCATTATTCAGTACAGCCTCAATTTTTGACATTCTGCGATTGTTATTGTTTTTCATATGGGTATTAGAGCTATTCCATGGCTGTTCCACTGCTCGATTAGCACTTCCAATGCAAGAAACAGAATCAATGTCTTTGATAGATTGAACATCCCCAATTTTAACATTATCATCAACCAAACCTGCACCGTAAGAACCAAGTTCACCCTCCCAGGAATTCAGATGTTGACATGTATAATTTGCCTCTTCTCCTAGGTTGCTTTTCACATGTAGCCACCACTTCATGTCTGGCAATTTGTCACAATTTGGGTTATGGGGCATTCCACCTGAGCTGGCCTGATCATTGACAGAATTGCGAGACACCCAATCAGATTCCAATGTTTTAGAAACTGATGGTGGGTGGTCAGAAGAATTCAGTGGCATCATAAAATCACGAGTGAAACAACGATTAGCTGCATAAGAGGCCCTTCTTTCTGCTGATTCCATTATTCTTGTTCTCTATGGGACCTGTTTTGGAAAATAATCCGAGAGGGCTAACTGATAAGATAGAAACTCAAACATATTAACAGGGTGTTAATACTTTTATCTCCAGTACATTAACAGAATAGTACATTAGTATACTACCAATCTTCAACTTAGCCTGAAAACAAGGGATCAAAGGAAAAGTATGCCCACTTGCAGATCTCTCTCAAAAATCATTGTAGAATGCAGGCTGATAATTTTTTTCCTCTTCCAAAAGAAACCTTTCTTCTACTAATTATTTAAAACAAAAAAACAAAACAAAACCACGTAACCCAACTCGAACACAAAAGCATCGGAATCATGATCATTAAACAAGAAGTTAAGAAATGATTGATACAAGATGAAGATGACATTAACAAAAAAAAAATGACAAAAAAAAAACGAAACCAATAATAACAAGTTAAACCGCGTAATATAGTATATCAGGAATTCAGTACAATAACGAAGCTTATCTTATCCCAGAAAGAATTCAACCTCCGGCAGCATAGGAAAATGCTAATTTTGTACATCATCGACTGAAATAACGAAAACCCAAAAACATAAACTATTTTTCATGATTGTGTATTGCCCATGGAAAGTCGATGGAAAGCCCAAACAATGCATGGGGACTTTGTGTGCTATTTGCACAGAAAGAAGTATATCAATTTTATATGCCCAAAATTCTGCTTACAATTAACACCGTCGTTTCAAAACAAGCTGGATCAGAGAAAACATCTCAGATAAGTCATCTGACACGGTTTTTCCAGCCAATTACATGAACAATACCAAACACAGACACCCAAATCACCAAACCCAGAACAGGAATGCAAAGAAGAGCACGAAACCAAACGCTCGCAAGAGCACCACGACTAATATTTAAATATATGGGGGAAGTTATAACACGTCAACAGACACGTTAAGCTGTGTCAGATCACAAAGAAGCAATGATGTTTTTAGAAACGAAATGAAGAAACAGAGAGAAGACGTACTGAGGCAGACGGTTTCTTTCTATTTCAGGATTTGGCAAGGCATCAGAGTGGTCGAGATCTGAAAAGTAGTACGGGAATCTAGAATTGGGGGAATATTTCCATTTCCGTGATCTTCTTACCCCAAGAGAAATTCCCGGGACACGATGATCAAGTGTAATCTGCCATATCCGGGTTGTCCTTCCTTCGATTTGTGACTTGCAAGCGTTGTTGCTTCCTCAATCTGTCCTCCCATTAAATATCTTTCTTTTTCTTGATCTTTAATTTTATTTCGCGTCTTCGGTAATAATATATGGATGATCGTGGTTGTTAACTGATTTAACATCGGTTCAATCACAGTTTCACTCTTGAGCCAATAATCGGTTTAATAACTGGTGATTTTTAGTAGTTTGACGATTGCTGGTTGCACGATTCCGACAAGGTTAAAGTTAAAGGATATTTTTGTCATTACGCAGAGAATGTTTTGAAAGTTAAAAACTAAAAATATTATAATTGTATTTCTCTTTTCAGAGTTAACCATCAACACTACTATCTATTAGTTAAAAAAATATTTTATGTATATATATATATATATATATAAATCATGCATATATTTGTGCCACTTGAAGATAAAACTTGGAGACTACGGTGACACCTTAGTGGCACTATATGCTTAGCTGCTTGTAAGCCAAGCCATGAGACACCCTTGTGGGCTGTGGCTTCTGTTTCGATGCTTTCCTTTTTCCTTTCTATATTGGTTTGGCCTTTATCCTTTATTTTTTTTTTATAACGAACGAGGACGCTTTATTATTTACTAAATTATTACGTTACACAAATTAAAATTAAAAAATTTAGAATAAATATTATTAATATCAATATATCTAAAATGATTAAATTTTTAAAAGTTTTTCTATTATTCAATCATTTTTTATATATTTTATTTATACACATCTTGTCTTTGATTAAATTTAAAATTTGTTGCTAATATGTTAAATTATTAAACCTTTTAATCTTAATAAATATTATAAATATCAATACTAAAAGGTTAGAAAGAAAGAAATGATTTGTGTCTAAAATACATAAGAAAGTACACTCTTACATTCTCACCCAAAAGGAAAGAGATATATTTTCTCTCACACACACATATATATATGGTCAAAGAATTGAATGTATATTGTCCACTGAATCATTTCCGTCTTGCTTTTTCAATGTGAAAAGATAAAGAGTTGTGATGTTATCTTGTTAGTGTGAAATGTATGGTGAAACATGTACAGATTAAAGGGTCAAGATCATGAGATAAAGATTGATGATCAAAGTCAAATTTAAACTTCTTTTTATTTCTTTTTTTCCTTTTTATAGATAATGTTTATAGAGGATAGTTAATAAGAGTTGATTGATACTGAGTACATAAAATTAATAAAATACGTGAAAAATGAGAAAAAAAATTAAATGTCATTGATTAGGAAAATTGAAAAGGCATGAGAAAATACAACAAATGTAGAAAGATAGCCGAGTGAAGTTAATGCTAACAATTAAAAAAATTTAAAAATGAGACTGATCTTGAATCAATGCTTTTGTGAAAGTACACTAAAAATACATGAAAAATAGAAAAATAAATTAAATCTTATTGATGTGAAAATTTGAAAAGCGGTGGACAAGTAAGCAAATGGAGAAAAATAGTCTAATGAAATTAATACTAACGATAAAGAAAATTAAAAATGAAAAAATTTGAAATAGATTTAATGCTCTTGTTCCATGAAAATAAAAATCAATGAAAAAAATAAAAAAAAAACAAAAATAAATTAAATTCTATCAACCAATCAAAAAAATTTAATTACATCAACTAATGAAATAATAATATTAATATTAAATTAAAATTAAATTGATTATACAAATATTAATGGACTAATGGAATAGGATAATTAACATTACACTGATATATGTTGATCAATAGGAGAGAAGAGATTCGTGATCAATTACCTTCATTCTACAAAATTTGTAGATATATGTGATCAATCACCTTCATTCTACAATATTTATAGATACATATTAATGATTGAGTGTGGTATATGCAATTTTAAAATATATTTATAGTATTATTTACCAAAACTTGTGTGATTACGTCTTTCAAAAAGTACATACTTTTTAATGAGTATTCCTCTTTTTTCTTTAAGTACGCTATTTTACAGAACCTTTGAGAGGGGATTGAATTTGACACCTCTTTCAAGTTAGTTAAAACATCTTTGGTCAAAAAAGATAGTTAGTTAAAACATCTTATTCACAATTATTGAACGCATAACATTTTTTTTCAACTAAAAGGAACATTATTAGATGCAATAGAAAATACATGCAGACGTGATTTCATCGACTAGATTAATTACACGTATACCCATATTTAATCTTCTCCATCCATATTAAATTTCGTAGGGTTTCTTTCTTCTATACTCCATCCAATTTCAAATATCAGAGAAAGTATTATGTACTTTTTCATTTACAAAAAAATATAGATTTCAGAAAGTATTTATCACATATTTCTCAATTTGTCTTTCATAGAGTTAATATTTATTTTTATTAGACAAATTTGTTTCATCAATTACAGGATACTTTTATCCAAATTTTTTAATTATAAATATAATTATTATACTTAATTAATTTTCTTAAATTGGGTGAGCAAGTACTCCATTGAATCCTATTTATTAGCCCTATTTTATAAGGTTTTATTGATCCTTTATATAAATCACCCTTCTTTATTTTTTGCAAACTTTGATGCACAATTATAAAAATATATTCCAACAAATTTTAAAAAGAAATAAAATATTTCAATTTTTAAGAAAAACTCTTCCCATATATCAAATCACTTTTTTTTTTAAATTTAGGAGCAAAATTAGAAAATAATTTATTTTTTTAACTAACTCATTTTAATTTTAATAAGGTAATTAAAAGTGACTCATAGAAAAAGTAACTTTTTTCAAAGAATTGATAACTATTAAACAAAGAAGTCATGATGCTTGTATCATCATGAAATTCTCATTTGATGACCCAATAAGTGGTGTGTAACTTGGTCCAACTTACTTTTGATCGGATGATTTGACGTCTAAGCATGGCAAAAGGAAGATATGAGGTGTAGTCATGCAATTAAATACTTGTTTGGTTTGTTTGGAAATATTATTCGGTTAAACATTTTTGTGTGCCCACTTAATAATTGCACGATTAGTTACATCCATATACATAATTACATATTAATTTTTAGTTATTGGGACTTTTAAGTCTCATTCCCTGTGATTAATATTTTTACAGGAGCGAGTTTGGCTGAGAAAGCACTAAAGGCGTGACTTTAGTATATGAGATACCATCTTTTACGTTGACTCTTATTTTGAATCATGCAATATATCTAGTGCTAACTTAGGACATGTATTATTTTGTGGAGCATATAGATTCTAATCTTTTTATTAATAGCATTTATATGACCAAGAGGATCATATTTGTCTCTCTTGATTCTTGACCTGATTTAAATATCGTGCCATGAGGATCCTGTTTGTCCCTCATGATTCTAATTGCTTTTTGGTTCACATAACAACATTAAAAAAATTTGTATTTGGAAATTTTTTGGGATTCTGCCACCTTAAGATAGGATTTTACACCAAATACTGATTTAAAAATTATTATTTTCTTTGATATGAATTGTTTTACATTGTTTACCATTAGGTAAAATTTTATTTTCAATTATCATGGTAGAGCTCACTCATTATGTTAAATTCTTTCTACTATATTAGGCTATTTGTAAAATATTTTATTTAGATAAACTCTTTTCTACCATAGTAAAGTTTTAAAAAGAAGTTTAATTATTTATTATCATGGTAGAAATTTTTCTACCATAATGAGGATTCGATGATGTAAAAATGATTTATTGAATTAATAATTTGTAAAAAATTGATTTGAAAATTTTAAGATGTTACAGTGGGTAATTACTTTATTGGGAGGTGAGATTATGTTAAAAATGCCTTATATTTTTTAATGGAGGAAGTATATTTTAGACTAAAGAATGGTTTTAGAAAGTGATTTATATTGTGATTCGAAAGACGTAGTATTTTGTAACATTCTAGTTTTAATCCCTTGATTAATTAAATCTAATTAGGATAATTAAGTAAATTGAGGTAGTGCGTGGTCAGGGAGCTCTAATAAGGATATTTGATCGTATTTCAGCTCAAATTGTGGTTTCGATTTCAAGTCAGGCCACTAGGCATCAAAAGAAGAAGAAAAATGAAGAGTGATATTGCTTGTGTCATATGCCATGACGTGAAGATCATCCGCTGCAGCACATAAACACTTTTAATGCAAGGAAAGACCTCTCTATGCCATGCGTCATGACGCGTGATCATTTTCTACAGATATCAATTGCGAAAATGAGACAGAAAAGGAAAGGAAGAAAAAAAAAGGAAGTGAAAAGACACATCAAACTTTACTAGGGTTTACTTGTGGACGACATTAGAAGTATTTTGGAGGCTACAAATACCTAAGGTAAGTACCACACTCATTAAGCTTCCCATTTATTCCACATTTATGAGTTTATATTAGAGTTTAATTGTGAAAGATTATTTTTTGATCTATATAAATTATGGGTCTGAATTTATTGACTCAAATGGAGTTAATGAAAATAGATTAGAGTATCTAAATATAATAAAATGAATTTTTGGTGTCTTGGGTTGTTAGGCACCATTAATGTCCAAAATTTGCAATTTAAAATGGGTGATTGGAAAAGTGTGATGCCATTAATGAGAATTTAATAGTCAATTAATATTATTGGGGACTAAGGATAGATAATAAATCTAATAGATAGGCTCGAACTCTTGTAGAGTGGACCTTAGACAATTAAGAAGTGGAGATTGATGGTTTAATACTTAAATTGACAATGTTGGTGAAATTCAACTTGGTTAATTATAGTTTTGGCTCTTGGTCACCTGTTGGATTAAAAATTCAAGCTTGGAAGCTAGTAGATTGAGGGGTAAATCTTTGACTTCTTAAAAGTTTGAGATAACTGGGGGAACCTTACTTTAGGTAGTTATATGTTAATTGATTGTTAAATGTGAATTGTGAATGTTATGATTGTTTTTTAATGTGAAACCATGTATTAGTTTCAATGAGTGTATGAAAATTTGAATGTGCATAATGCTATTTTTGGCTTGAAATGCAAAAATGTGAAGTTAAGAAAGTTTTTAAATTATGAACATGTGTATGCTTTTAAAAAATAAATGTGATATTGTGTAAAGGTAATTGTCTATTAATAAGAAGTGGATTTTGAGATAAGTGAGA